CTTGGGAGGGCGGGCCTTGTTCCCTGGCTGAGGTTCCTCCCCTCCCCAAACCCCGCCCTCTCCTGGCTCCACCCCCAAATCCCCAGGAATTTCCCAGCCCGGAGTTGGCAACCCTGCATGGCTCCCCCATTCCACCAGACCAGAGGACGGGTGGGGCTGCTCCGGTGTGGTTTCGAAGTTTGCAGTCCACCCCTGGTCAGTTGCTTGTGGGATTAAAATGTAACTTTGTTTTATTAGTATTATTGGATATTAAATGATGTATAGAATAAATAAAATAACTATTTACTTCACTTATACCCCATTTTTCTCCCCAGTGGGGACCCAGGGGGGCCTGACCTCATTCGCCTCTCCACCGTTTTATCCTCACAACAACCACCCTGTGGGGTAGGCAAGGCCGAGAGTGCGTGATGGGCCCCAGGTCACCCAGCCGGCTCCCGTGGCACGATCCCGTGGGGATTCGAACCTGGGTCTCCCTCCCAGATCTCCGCAGTCTCTTCGTTTTAAGTCAGTTCTTCATATTAACTTACAAAAGCCCTCTTGTTTGTTTATTTTTTATTGGTGCACGCTTTAGCCAAACAGAACAAAATTTCTGGCTCGGACCTCATATGAATGTCAACGTTGTTTGTTGGGGGCTCCATGTGAACTGATCGGGCATATTTGGAGGTTTTCAGACAGAGGCCGGATGGCCCCACCTGACAGCCACGCGGGTTCCGTGAACTCAGGCTGATCACGAGCAGGGAGGGCAGGGAGGGCTGCAGCCTCAGGGCTTAGTTCTCGTGGCCCATTCTTACGCACCCAGGGGAAACGCCGATCGCCACTTTGGGGCCAGGAAGCCATTGTTCTCCAGGCCAGTTTGGCCGGGGATCCTGGAGGGTTTTGTGTTTTTCTTTTTGGTCATCTTCTGGGCAAGAAGCAGGGGTCATGCCAGGTGGGGGGAAGGTATTTGCGAATTTCCTGCATTGTGCAGGGGGGTGGACTAGATGACCCTGGAGATCCCTTCCAGCGCTATGATTCCGTGACATGCAGGTTTCCCGCCACCAGTGGGGCCAGTTTCCAGTCAGGCAAGGGGCATAAGCAATATCCCCTCCCCTCCCCCCTGCGTGCATCAGTGACGGTCAGAGCCGGGCAGCCCTCGTGCGTGCTTGGGAACCGGAGTTTCTGGTGTGCTACTGACAGCACACATCTGACTGACAATCGCTGTGGAGGGCCTGGACATAGGGTTGCCAACTCTAGGTTGGGGGATTCCTGGAGATTTGGGGGGGGTGGAGCCTGGAGAGGGTGGGGGTTGGGAG